AGCTGGAAGAGCCTTGGAAAGAGAGATCAGTGACACCAATCGTTATCTTTCTGATGGGCAAATGCAAAGCTTCTCTGCAGGAGGTGTTCGTGTTTGTAACAGAGTTCATCCTCATGCTCTTCACATGAATGTGCTATTTAGCTACTGGTATTACTATTTTAGAGGCACTCAAGACTGAAACTACAGATAAAACCCACGATCATGACAAGGACTTCTGCACGCCCACCATAAGAGAAGTCTCTTACCAAAATCCAGCCAACTAGCGTACATGGGGCTCAATCTCAGAACTGTAAACACTTTCTTCTGCCACAGTTTGAAGCATTGAGGTTAGGACATTTCTAACAGTAGAACAGCCCCTCTGCATTATGCTGAAAATTGAGATGTCATTTATAAGAGACATTTTAGCCAGCTCTGTTGTGACAGGAAAAGAAGAAATGGTTTCAACTAGAAGAGGGGGGATTTAGATTGGATTTAAGGAAAAAAGTTTTTAATTATAAAGGTAGTGAAGTACTAGAGTAGGTTGTCCAGAGAGGTGGTGGTGCCCCATCCCTAGAGACATGAAAGGTCAGGCTGGATGGGTCTGAGCACCTGATCGAGGTGTAGGTGCCCCTGTTCACTGCAGGGGAGTTGGACCAGATGGCATCTGAAAAGTCCCTTTCAACTCAAATGATTCTATGATTGCATATGAAGTAAAGAAGAACAGCCAAGAAGAAAATAGCTTACTTTTATAGCTTCCAACACTGGTTCATAGAGATCTGGATATCCTGAGAAGCGGAAGAACATGCAGTGGATGAGCTCAGCCAGCTGCTCCAGGGAGCTGGTGGCAGAGTTGGAGTCCTCCTTCTTCAGTGAGGTCACCAGCCTGGGGATGTGAGGGAGCAGCTGGAAAAGGAGAGTTCACTATCTCAAAAATGGTTCCAAGTAATTCACAAAGCTTTAACAGAATGACATTCATATCCAGGCAGAAAGGAAGTCAACAGAAGCTGACTTCAAACCGTGCCAGACTTCATCATTCACCCTATGAACTCAATAGCAAATCTTCCATCAAATTTAGCAGTGCAAATTCAGGGCTACCAGTCTTGAGGGGTTTCATAGTGTACAGCACCTGCAAGTTTGTGCTGTCATTTCAATTCTTTGTGAAGATCAATATCTGCTAAAACATACACTGGAAAGGATTGTTATACACTGAATACTGAGTTCAGGAATTCAGACCTACAGAACAAGTGAACTAATGTACAAAAAGTGCTATCTGGTACACTATATTTTATTCCATGCTGCATAAAATAAACTGGAATTGGTATCACAGAATCACAGAATCACCAAAGTTGGAAAAGACCTACAGATCATCCAGTCCAACCATCCACCAATCACCAATAGTACTCATTATGTATGAGTTGGATGGGTAGCAAAAGGCCCATAAAAAGCACATTTGTTATTTTGCATTCATCTAGAAAACTTAAACATGAGCAAACAGATCAAAAGAAGAATGATAAACTGCTCACGGGCACCCTCTGCTGACCCCAGAGCCACACAGAAAATTAAAACCAGGATTCCAGCGTAGCAGATTTACTGGAGTAACCCTGAAATTACACTGCATTTATCGTGTTTCTGTTGTGCTTAATTTTACTCCAGAACAGTTCTGGACTGAAGGCTCAGAATCCTCAGTCCCCTCATTTCTGTCCTACTGTAACAATGGAACAAGTCCGAATCCTCCTCATGAAACTGAACGTGTATAAGTGCATGGGGCTGGATGATATCCTAGAATTCTGAAAGAAATGGCTAATGTGGTTGTCAAGCCATTCTCCATCATATTTGAAAAATCATGGCTGTCTGGTGAAGTTCCTGGTGACTGGAAAAATGGAAACATTACTCCCATTTTTAAGAAAGGGAGAAAGGAAGATCCGGGGAACTAAAAGCTGGTGAGCCTCACCTCTGTGCCTGGGAAGATCATGGAGCAGATCCTCCTAGAAGCTATGTTAAGGCACATACAAGATAAAGAAGTGATTCAAGACAGCCAGCATGGCTTCACCAAGGGCAGATATTGTCTGACCAATCTGGTGGCCTTCTATGAGGGAGTGACGGCTTCAGTGGACGGGGGAAGGGTGATGGATGTCATCTATCTGGACTTCTGCAAGGCCTTTGATATGGTCCCTCACCACATCCTTCTCTCTAAATTGGAAAGGTGTGGATTTGAAGGATGGACTGTTTGATGGATTAGGAATTGGCTGTCTGGTCACAGCCAAAGGGTTGTGATGAATGGTTCTGTCAGGGTGCAGGCCACTCACAAGCAGTGTCCCTCGGGGGTCGGCCTTGGGACTGGTGCTTTTCAACATCTTCATCACTGACAGATGATGGCATCGAGTGCACCCTCAGAGAGTTTGTGGGTGACACCAAGCTGAGCAGTGCAGTTGATACACTGGAAGGAAGGGAAGCCATTCAGAGGGACCTGGACAGGCTGGAGAAGTGGGCCCTTATGAAAACCTAATGAGGTTCAGTAAGACCAAGTGCAGGGTGCTGCATTGGATCGGGGCAATTCCAGGTATTTACACAAAAGATCTCCTTGAGAGCAGTCCTGCGGAGAAGGACTTGGGATCCTGGTGGATGAGAAGCTGGACATGAGCCAGCAGTGTGAGCCTGCAGGCCGGAAGGCCAACTGTGTTATGGGCCGCATTAAAAAGGGGTGGCCAGCAGGGACAGGGAGGTGATTGTCCCCCTCTACTCGGGTCTTGTGAGGCCCCATCTGCAGTGCTGTGTCCAGGCCTGGGGCCCCCAGCACAGGAAGGACATGGAGCTCTTGGAGCAGGTCCAGAGGAGGGCAATAAGATGATCAGAGAGCTGGAGCAGCTCTGCTATGAGGAAAGGTTGAGGGAACTGGGCTTGTTTAGCTTGGAGAAGAGAAGGCTCTGGGGAGACCTCATTGTGGCCTTCCTGTACTTGAAGGGAGCGTATAAACAGGAGGGGGAATGGCTGTTTGTGAGGGTGGATGGTGATAGGACAAGGGGGAATGGTTTTAAACTAAAACAGGGGAGGTTTACGTTAGATATTAGGAGGAAGTTTTTCACGCAGAGGGTGGAGACACACTGGAACAGGTTGCCCAAGGAGGCTGTGGATGCCCCATCCCTGGAGGCATTCAAGGCCAGGCTGGATGTGGCTCTGGGCAGCCTGGGCTGCTGGTTGGCAACCCTGCACATAACAGGGGGTTGGAACTAGATGATCATTGTGGTCCCTTTCAACCCAGGCCATTCTGTGATTCCATGATTCTATGATTCTTGATCTTCCCCTTTTTTCTCTTCTGCTCTTCTTCCTCTCTTTTCTTTTTTTCTCCTCTAAATGTTGCAGATTTTAAGTATTTTTTTTCCAATGGAAAAGTTTTGGAGAGGGCAAGGAATGAAACCCAGTACCATTTTATGCACCAATATTTTGCCAAGCTGTGATTGGAACAATTCTCAAAACTTCCAAAGTGTCCCAGCGAACACTGAGATAAGAAGCATGACGAGTTTATGTCTTCTTGTTGGCTCTTTCATTTTGAATAGGGAAGAAAATCTGTGCTCACTGGGTCGCAGATAGAAACTTCAGGCCAAGAGTGACTGATGGCTTTTGGAGTCATTCAAATTTTGAATATTCAGCTGAAGATCATTCTGCTTTTAGAAACTGAGGGGTTTCTCAAGAAATTGGGCTCAATTAAAGTGTCTCCTGCTCAGAAACAAAAAACACCAGTTGATGATGTTGGCTAGTTCTGCCGTTTTCCAACTTTATCTGTTTTTCTTCTGAAACTTAGGTAAAAAGCCAAAAATAAGGGCTTTAATGTAAAAGTATAATATCAAGCATTATTAGCAGTAATTTTTCATTACTTTTTTTTAGCAGTTCAATCTCTGCAAGTATGCCTTTGTCCTCAGCCCTGCTTTTCAATTATAGCATTCCAGGGGCAATATTGGTGGGAATCAGAGCTGCGCCTTAGTTTCAACTGTAAATAAACACACACACACATATATATATAAAGTATCATTGTGAAAATGAAAAGAGGAGATTAAAATGCTGCTAGAAGTGGTTACTGAGTATGTGGTTTGAGGGTTTTTTGTTGGTTGCTATTACTGTTACTGGAATTGGGTCTTGTTTGGGTTTTTTGTGCCCTTGAACAGTGGAGAATTCATGATTAGAAGTGTTCTGATCCTGTCTTCAAGTCTTAATACATTGATGGTGTGTGGTGCTTGGGAAGATGCCTCAGGACTTCAATAAATGGTGATGGGTTACACATATTGGTAGGATTTGCTTCTACAAATCAGCTCCATAGGGCCCAAAAAGCTGGTTGGGCTGCAGAAGAGGGTGAAATATGCAGTATGCAGAAGAGTGGGAAATATTCACTATTCAACAGCATTATTCAACCTCTTAGGCTCCCCCCCAGCCACGCTGTCCTCTAACTTAGGGTAATGAGTTCATCCAAGGGTTGGATGCATCCTTACCAAGTGAAATGCTTCATGGGAATGCTGGAAGCTCAAGAGCATGTACTGTAGGACAGACAAAGCCCCCTCTCTCACAATGGGGTACAGCAGCTTGGAGAAGACCTGGTGGGGAGAGAAAAGCAAATGAGAAGGCAAGATGGCATCACAACACGTATTTGAAGGGCCTATCAGGAAATGGAGGCCCTGGGCATCTACTACATATACTGGTGTGTTCCTATACTTATCTGGATATCAAAACATGCAGTCTGCAGCTAGGCCTCCAGAGACATCTCTTGTCCAGAGATGTATGGCCTTGAAGCACCATAAAAACACCATGTGGCTTGTCCTCACTCTTTCAGGCCTGCACAGTGAGGCACAGGGCTTTGGGCTGTTGTAACATACCTTCACTCCTCTTGATAGAAGAGGTCTCGCAAGAACAGAGAGCAACTAGATTTTCTACTATGAGCTTCTTCTGTTTATTGTTATATTTGAAATCTTACCACCAACCTTCCAAGGCAAAGGGATAGAAAGCAAAGGTCTTTCAGAGTCTTTCAGTGCTTTCAAAGGCTAAGTAATGACATTTGTCCCAATCTACACAAAATAACAGTGCCCTCTACTGTTTTCAGACCCTTCTTCTGAGATTCTCCAACAGTCACACAGCATTTTAAGTGCTGTCCTTTTCCTATGCTTTAACAATGAAAGGAAAGATAAAGAGAAGTTGAAGAAATTCAGTGACCCTCTCACTGCTTGATGCACAAGAGGGATCACAGGTGCAAATTCAGTTACTAATAATGTTTTGGTACAGACAATTATGGTATTGTTAACTTCATGGTGACTTCCACTGGAGAGACTCAGTCAAGCCTTATGACCATCTTACAAAGGAAGGAACTGTGGGACCATAAATTGGAGAATATTTTTGAAGTGGCCACCAATTTGATCACATCAGACAGTAGCAAGTACTCATTGCCAAAGCAGAGGTTGGCAATGGGAGTGAAGCTTTGTCTGTACTTCTAAATTAAATAAGGCCAGGACACAGGCTTTAAAATTGCCCTGTAACTGTATGGATTGTTAACCCTACCAGATGGTGTGTATTTTGGCCAAGCCAACCAGCACGGACCTAGGCACATTTGAGGGAGAGTGTTTTACATTCCTAAGGATGGGTTGTACAAGACCTCCATGTTTGATTGGCTTTAAAGTCTTTGGTTTGTTATATTTCATAACTTTTAAGATATCAGTGCCTCTGCAAGCCAAGCTCTAAATGACATTGGATTGGGCTTTCAGTTGCTGCAGGACCCAAAATCCTTATGCAACACACTCAATCAAGAACCAGCTTGACTCCCAGTACCCAGCTCCCTTTATTAGGAGTTACATTAAATGGCTAAAATGGGCATTACTGGAGAACATCATTCCAAGATGCAAAACTGGTAGTAGCCCACTGCCCCATACACAGTAATACAGCACACACAGTGTGCAGTGGGCACGATGGTTCCTGCAAAACTCCTTGGTATAGCACAATCTTTCCTATACATCTGAAGTTGTATCTCACCCTCATTCAACTGAAGGGCAAGAAGATATCCCAGGTGCAAGAAATTTGTGTTTTGCAGTCATATTTAAGATGCCCACTGACCTTTTCAATTTTTGAAAGAGTAACTTCAATCAAGATGCTGAACTTTTTCACTGCAGCCAAACCCTTCAGCAGAGCAATGATCCACTTGTCTATGTTCTTTCCCAGGGGCCATGACACCCAGTCGATCATCCTGAAATGAAAGTCAAACTCTTGAAGCAAATGTAATGCATATATTGTGAAAGTTAAACTCCACTTTGGGTTAAATTTTCTCCAAGTTCCTACCAGTCAATGGGATGGCCAAGTAAGAGATAGGGTGCACATGTGGCATTTAGAGAGCAGACTTTCAACTCTTCAGGGGACTGCTTGGCAGGATGACATGTAAGAAAGCCCTGGAGGGAAGAGGGGCCCAAGAAAGCTGGCTGATATTCAAAGACCATCCCATCCAAGCCCAGAAGGCAGTGCATCCCAAGAAAAAGGAAGGCAGACAAGAATCCCAGGAGATCTCCGTGGATCAACAAGGAGCTCCTGGACTTAGTGAAGCGCAAAAAGAAAGTCTATAGGGAGTGGAAGCATGGACAGGTTACCAGACCTGGGAGGACTACAAAGTCCAAGCAGCCAGGGATCAGGTTAGGAAAGCTAAGAGACAGAATTAAATCTAGCCAGGGACATAAAGGGGAACAAGAAGAAATTCTATAGATATATCAGTGATAAAAAGAAGGTAAGGGAGGATGTGGGCCCTCTTCAGAAGGAAACTGGAAACCTGGTCATGAGGGATACAGAGAAGGATTTTTTAATACATCTTTCACAGGAGTCCCTAGAAGGTCAGTCTTCTTTTTTCAAGAACCGTAATGCAAATTTAAAGAGTTGGTACTGTTAGATAGCAAATGGGATCTGGATCTTTATCTTCCCTGTACAGGAAACATTCATTCCCCAAATCACATTAAAGAAAGAAAATAGCCTCATAGAAATCAGGTACTACTAAATAGAATAGTTAATCAATTCCTACTACAGCCACTCAGCCAACAAGATGTCAAATTTCTGCAATACTTTATAGAAGAGCCACTTGTAAAAAAAATGGTATCACTGAGTGACGATAGGTTGTTTAAGTATTTATTTAAACATCTTTTAAAATCACGTTTGAATTAAATGCTAAGCAGAACCTCAAGGTAATCAAGGCTTGGGAGCTTCAAAGGTCAAACTTTGCTAATCATTTTCATTCCAGTACCTTTTGTTTGAAGATATCAGTCCATCTTTCTTACCCAATCAGCCTCTTTTGTTTACAAGTCTGCATCTTGTGCAATAATACATAAAGGCAACTGTGGATAAATAACCAACCAAGGCAAAGAGCAAGAATAAATCAAGTCTATAAAAAAATGGGGAAAAAAAGAAATGCTAGCCAATAAATAAAGCTTGAAGAGCAGAATACGTTGGGAGATTGAGAAATAACAAAAATCAAGCCAAGCTGGATCATAAAACAAATACCAGAAAAACTTCTGCAGACAGTTGCATCAGACTAGACTAAGGATAGATTATGCAGACGCTGTGCATGGGGGATGTGATGTTGATTGAAGATAACACATGGCCTTTATATGCAACTTGCAAAATAAATGCATCCTCTTGTTTTCAGCAAGATGAAGGAACTGGTCAGCAACAAGGAGGAGGCAGAGAAGAGAAAAGAAAAAGGAGTAATGGAAACGGGAGCAATGAGAGCTGATATGAAAGAGAAACATGAAGAGCTCATACACTACCAAGAGGAGCTGGATGTTTATCAAGTAAAATTCAACTCTGGTGGTTTTAATGACTCTGTTAACACTGGAGTAATGCTTTGTGTGGGAAGAACAGGAAGAGAGTTCCAGTAATTAAGACAAGCAGTGAGGGAATGACTGGGAAGAAGGGCCACAGGGGTTTACTCAGGTGGCAAAAGTAAGGTTTTCCAGGATATCTAATTTTCTAATCAAAGGATTCAAGCTCATATCTGACTGTATCTGCGGGGATACAGAACAAGCAGTGTACTTCACGACCTAAAGGTGTTGGTACAAACATCCTGAATGTGGTGGTGAAACTTGTGATGATGCAAAGCTGGGAGGCATCATCAACACAGGAGGATCAAAGCATCACAAGGAAGACACCAAGGATTAGAGATGCAGAACAAGGATGAAATGCTTTCATTCAAAACAAAGGCAAGGCACGTAGGAAGGAAATAACAAGAAATGGCTGCTTATTGAAGAAGAGAAGTCAGATAGATATTTGATGATCTCTTGAGCCAGGGAGAACCTCACCAGGAACATGGTGCACAAAATTCAACATCCATATCCAAGACCAATGACCTGAAGTGGGAACAGGTGTTGAAAAAGCCTGTTGATCTGGTCAAGAAAATGAAGAACCTCTCCTGAGAGAAAAGCTTGAAGTAATATGGCTCATTCAACATAGCCATTGGAAAGCAGAGAGAGGATGGGGCAGCTCTCTGAGCATACACTGAACAAATTAACACCAGGGAAGGAAAAGAGACACTGCAGCTATTTATGCTGGCATAAAATCAAAAGAGCTACAAGAATACCAGAAATAAATATAAGCTGCCTATTAGAAGAGAAATCTAAACCATTAAAGCAATCAAATGGTGGAACAGCTATGAAAGAAAGCAGTGGGAGCAAAAACCCTTCTTGCTTTGAAGATTATGGTTGAGCACTCATGAAAGGGATGTAATATTAATACCTATAAAGCAGGAAGATGGATTCAGGGATCTAAGGGCCTTCCTTTATCTATCTCTTTTCACACCGGCATAAAATAACCTTGTCCACTATAAGCTATTTTTTACCAACATTAATGGCCAAATTACAATCCTTCCTCATCAGCAGCCAGTGGGAACAAATAGCTTTTTAAATTCACATCACACTTTCCACATTGCAAGATTCACAAACATTTTATGAACCAGGGCCTTAATTTTCCAAAGGAGCCACTGACATGGCATGCTCAGCTTTTAAATTCAAATTCTGATTTCTAGAGATAGCAAGTGCTTGTGTCTCTTTGTGATGATAGAAGCTCCATGCAGCTGAAGTTGGGCCCTTCGAAATACATGTGCCATAAGGGGAAAAAAAAAAAAAGAAAAATACAAGCAAAGATACAAATCAGTACTTCTGAAGTCATGGAGACATATTAATAGACTCTACCTGAGCTATGACAAAGGTTACTAAGAGATTGTGATGTGCATCTACACCAGCAGATGCCAGGCTTGCTTTTTTTTTTAACCACTATTTGCTCTCTAAATGCCTGGATGGATCAAAAGCTCCATCCCATGTCCAGTCCATTCCCCTGCCATGAACTCCCAAATCCAATATTTGGAAGAAAAAACTGCTTCACGTGTGTCTGCTCTCCCAGGAATCCTGACCAAAAAGACCCTATCAACCTGTACATTTTTCTCTATTTTTCTATTTATGCAGCATGCACTCATCCAAAGGCCAACTGTGGTGCAGTTTTCTGGGGCATCTGCTGGCTGTAAACACGCCACCAAAACTTCTGCATTCCTCCTAAGTGATCTTAATTACATTGTGCATACTCTGCTTACAGATCTTGGCTGAGTAATCGTTTACTCATCCTTCGGCATGACAAAGAATTTTTTAAGGAATGATGCAATTGATTTTGCAAGCACTATATTTAGACGCTAGTGCTCTTAGAGATTTATTGCCTGGAGCTCACAGTAGCATCTGGGAACCAGATCCCAGAAGGAGAAAAAGATGGAGAAGATTGAGAATTGAACCGGTAACTAACATTTGTCCTGGCTGGCTTTGGATCCTGTGAAAACCATGCAAGTCAGAGATCCCATTCTTTCTGCATCAAATTCCCATTGGGAATAATGTGGACTTCTGTCATGAAACCTACTTGAGAGGGAACAATCCTAGTAGGAACAGTGAGAAAAACATATTTCCACCTCCCCTGGGCTAAGTGCATGTCAACATCACCCACTTAAGTGGAGACCTCTTGTGGTGGAAAGCATGGGTTGGAGATGCTCCTAGCCAAACGTGGAGCAATGTACTGGGATGAAGCAAAGCTGTAGGATTTGGACAAAGGTGTGCAAGGAAGATCAGGGCCCTGCTTCTGTGAGGACCAAGTCCAGCATGACAAGTGATATTTCACCCACTGCCTCTTCATCATGCCTTGATGTCACCATCAACTCTTCTTGCAAAGAGGATAAAAATCGCACAGCACCAAGATGCAGGCCAGCAGCACTGCACCCATCTGATGGAGGTCAAGGTATGCTCATTGAGACAGTTGAACTTTAAAAAATTTCTGCAGGTCTTTTAGCTGTGGCTAACAATTTAGGGCAATGTCCCTCCAAAGGGATACAGGGGCCAACAAAAAATTATTTAAAGGAGACTTTGTGAAGAAAAAGCCCTTAATATCCTCTGGAGGAAAAAAAACAGTTGTGTTCAAAGTATCTCATGCTAGGTATCCCATAACACTACTTATTTCTACGAAAAAAAGAAACCAAATCAAACCAGATGTCATTGTCATCATCATCATCATCATTATCATCATCAGTAATCTTAATTCTAGTTCTCCAAGCCCTCAGGGCTGGAAGGAAGGAAGGATCCTGGATTCCCCTTTTCTCTACACCTTGCAAGACAACACCAGCCAAAATGGTTTTTGCTACAATCTGGGAATAAAACTATGCATAGGAACTCAATGCAGCTTTGGGACAGTTTTTTTCTCCAGATTGAGAATGACATTCATTAATGCAGTTTAGCCTACCTGCCAATGGCCATCATCATTTGCACATCAGTGATGCTGTCATCATTGGTTAGGTTTCTTATGACACCATCCATGAGCTCCAGAGGGACAAATTGGACCACGCTGGCTAAGGCATTGGATGGCACCTCCTGCTCCTCTGCAAGACATGGATGAGTGCCAGTAATGAAGATGTTAGTCACCAGAGAAACCAGGCACATGAGGTCATTTCTCAGCTGCAAAAGCCAATTCGTTCCCACCTTCATAAATGGAACTGACATAAACCAGCCATGAGGAGTCCATGCTCAGCAGCACTAGGACAACTCCCCAAGTCCCAGTGTAGCACAGAATGAGGTTGGGTGGCAGCCAATGAACTGTTGCATGATGTCATACACAGCCCAAAGGGAGCCAGGAACCATAGACACAAGAACATTATTCCTAAAACACAAAAATTCCCTCTGGGTGCTTTCTTTATACTAATTACTGCAATTATTGCAATGAGATGTGACTGCGGGTTTGCCTGCCTGGAGCACATTCCAAAAGATGAGGTTTCCATGGAGGGAACACTGGAATGCCCTTCTCCTCAAGGGCTTAGAAATAGTGGGTCCGGGTGCTCACTTACATGCAAAGAGTCTGATCTTTCAAGGCACTGGTATCTTCAAAAACCTTCTGAGCCCTTGTGCAATAATCTAAAGGTGTCAGAAGCTTATCTCCCACCTTCAGACATAACTACCTTCCAGAAAGATTCCTGGGCTTCCCACCTCTAGATTGCAGAGAAATAAGTCCTTAACTTCGCTCTTACTTTCTTCTAACAAGCAGGCTGAGAGATCCCATTGAGTCAGCTACTGGAGAGATATATTTCTGAAAGCTTCTGGGTCCCACTCTAGCCTTCTGTAAAGATTCTTTCCATTAAACCCAGCTGATGCTGAAAAATGCCAAGCACTCAAATTTTGCAACATGGTATTTCAAACCAGGTAACAACTTCTGTGTGGTTTCAGGAGATATTTATTTCTCATCCTAAGGCTTTGAATAACAGTTAGATGCACTACACTATTTCAGTTGTGGTTGAGTTTCTGGGGGCGGATCGTAAGATCATGATCAAGCAAGACTAATTAAAGTATTTTGCTCCTTATCAAAGCCAATATCTACATTTTGCACCCTCATTTTTTTCTTATTATTACCTGTTGAAGAAATGATAGTGAACAGCTCCTTCAGCGAGGGCAGGATGGCCGAGGTCTGAGTCCTCCAGATCCTCTGCAGCAGACCGCTCACCTTGTTCACCTGCTCCAAAAACTCCATGATGTCATCTTCCCCCTCAGAGACGCACTGAAACTGCCCAATGCACCGTATCAGCTGCTGACAAAACAGGACCTGGTGTTTGCCTGTGGGGATGCATTGAGGATGTTGCGTTAAGAGTTTGCTGATCTTTGCACACTGCTTGGGGCTGGGCCTCTCACAGACTTTCCGGAGCACCTCGATCCTCAGTAAGCTGAAAATGCTGTTTGCTGATGGACTTTCCAAGACAAACTGCAGTCCTAATTGGATATAATCAAGTACATAATGGCTTCTCTTCCCCAGAGGCCCATAGCCTTCCTGGAGGAGACTCAGTAGAAAGCGGACATTGAAGAACTCCTCAAATTCCTCTGGATGGTAGTGGCCATAGACCTCCAAAACCTCTTTCCCAATCTCTCTTTTATATTTTGTGTCCCCCACAAGATAAAGCTTGGTGCACAGCTCCAGCATGGACCAGCATTGCTCACTGTCCATGGGCTGCTTTGATGCCTCAATGACACGCCTCACAAGCCCTTGTTTCACATTGTTGGGGTATGAGGACATCACCACAGCTTCCAGTATCTTATCCATCTTTGTTTCCAGCTGAAAGAAAAGAACAGAGCAGCAGGTTAGGTCAGGCAAGGTCTATTGAGCTTTCAAGGCCAAGTCTGCAAGAAAAGTCAAAGAAACAGAGCTTGGGAGTTGTCTGGAATGCTAGAAAGGTGATAATCCTTGTGATTTTTTTGTGGTGGTTTTCTAAAAAATTTCCTTTTTGGTGATGGTTGATTGAGATCAAAGCTGCAAAACTGGAACAAACGCACAAAAACAGAACTTCTTCAGATTTGTCACATACTTGACCACAGTTGTCTTGTAAATCTCTTATAACCTTCCACTTGACCCCTTCTCCTCGAGGGGTACAGCAGCTGAAGACAGTGTCCCAAGGCTCAAAAAATCCAATTCCCTCAAGAAACAGGCTGCCACAGACTTGTAAGAGGGGCTGAATTTGGGATCAGGAAGCAAACAGTGGAGTCAAAGTCTTCAACTGATGTTTGCTGGCACAGGTGCCTTCCAGAGGCAATGATGTTCCCAGTGATTGTTTTCACAGTCGGGGGAGAAAAACCCTGGGAAGGAGAGGCACACAGTAGAAGGAATGTACATTTGACATTTACACTGTGCTGTTATCCACCCCAGCTCAGAGCAGAGGGAGAACTGCAGTCCTGGCTGTCCTCCAGGAACTTTCCACATTTGTATGCAGGTCCAAAGCAACGAAGAGAAACTGCAGAGTCAGGCAAAGCTTCCCATTCGTCACAGCCTGGACTCAACAGCAATAAAGTATTAGAGAGTACAGAAAAAGCCCCCAAGGCTTTCCTTGGAACAGTTCAGAACATTTACAGCCAAGGTATTGGATGCACTGCTGCACAAGAAACTCTGTTACAGATGATAAAATCAGATAGACAGAATTTCCTAAATCATATTACAGGAAAAAACAGCAGGTCACCCCTGGTGCTATATATGCTGCCCAAATACCCTGTGAGACCGTTCCTTCCTGCATATAGCCTGAAACCATACATAGGAGAGGAAAAAGGGAAGCGTGTTTCATCTCCATTACCTAATGAGGGATCAAGGCAGCAACAGTCCATCCATACTCATCTGCCTGAGTGCAAGGAAAGTCTTTTTTCTGTTTCTCAGCTTCCCAGTCTGCAAAACTAGGACAATACTCAGTGCTTTTCTAGTGTAGTCCTTCCAATGACTGGCTGAATTTTCATGGACATTACAAAGCATTTGAAGCTCCTCAAGTGGGTAGCATTATATTAATCAAAAGTACATATGCAGACAGCATATACCTGCAGCCTAATCTAGTGACTGGGAACTCTGTCTGAAGCAGGGGGTTGGAACTTGATCATCTTTAAGGTCTCTTTACATCCCAAGCCATTCCATGATTCTATGATTCTATACCTCAACTTTGATTTTCACAGATGAAAAGCAGAAGAAACCTCAGTGGACGCAATACAAGGATCAACCCATCCCTGGAACAAGCTGTGTCTGAGCCAGAAATTGTCTTCTCCTCTGATAGGCATCTTCGTGCTGGTGGGGAAGAAACTAGGCCAGATCCAAACTTGTAGCTTCCAGAAATGGAGGGACACAGTTGTCTTGTCTGTAGCTCACTGATCAACAAATATCACAGTGGTCACCAGCTGTAACACTGCCAAACTTCTCCCAAATTTTTAGTGTGAAGAGTCTGCTTCCAGCAACATTTTTAGAGGAAGCTGCAGCTCTGGGCTGGTGCCCGGAGGAAATATGAGGATGGGTCACCCCAACCTTGATGCCTGGTGGCATCCAGGTGTGGTCTGATGTAGTGTGGAGAGCACAAGACTGAAATAGGGCTCTGCCCATAGTCAAGACACATGAACAAGTGGAGAAGTCTAACAGTTATAAATGAAGACTATCTTCCTCACTAAGAAAGATTGTAGTGGCTCATACTGACTTTAGGAGCTCGTACTTACACATAGAGGACCATTTAAATTGACCTTGTGGTGGTCCATGGTCTCTGTAGCAACACAGATTTCACAACACAAGGTTGTGAACTGCCCTGAAGTAACCAGATGTGGTTAAACAATCCCACATTTCTATTGTGTATCAGGATGCACCAAGCTGGACATGGGCCAGATAATGTCAGGCCAGAAGATGCCAGCCAGGCAGCCCTTAAAAAGGTGATATTTACAATGCATGTTGCAATCTTAAAACTGTATTAAAACAACACTCAGGATGCATTGTGATATATAATAAGAAACACTACAGTTTTCAAACTACATTAAGAGAGCATTCAAGTGGCAAATGTTGGGAATTAGGATGGCTAATTCAGACCCACCGCCTCTGCAGATGCTATCAGAGATAATAGTTAAAGGATCTTGTACTGACTTTATTTTTTCCAGGCCTCCCAAGAGAATGAATCAGGGTTTGCAGTTAAGGACTGTTCCCTGCAAGAGCACTGTCTCATTTGTTGCAGGAATTGGAACTGTGTCATAAGTAACCCCAGGAACTGCAGGAGAAGGAAGGATAATTTCATTGCTGGGCAGCTGAATGCTACCTGGAGATTTGGTTCCTGGTCCTCTTCTGTTAAATATCAAAACAAAGATAATAAATATTCAGGAAACTAGGCAACTATTCCTGAAGTGGGAGAACTTCAACATTTCTGCGCTTTATCATCCTGACAGGGAATAATAACTCACAGAAAAGCTGGGAAGATTGGCTCATTCCTGCTTGTAAAGAGAACTGAGTTCCTAAAGCACATGAAGTTGCTGCAGAAGGTTAAAATGTTAATTATTAATCTTAAGAGCCATTTTGAGGTTCCATCTGTTATGTAGCTCAAATGAAACAGAAAGTACACAATACAAGATCTGCACTGAAAAAGAAATCCCATGAAATGATGAAACTGGCAGAAGAAACATCGGTAAAGTCAAAACACTGGGCAAGAATGGACCTTGAGAGGTCTCTGGTCCAATGGCTGTACAAAGCTGAAATTAAACTAAGTTACTTGGGGCTTCCTAAATTCAGACACAGCTTCCAAAAGAGCGTGCCCAATGATTTTCCCAAAGTGAGACTGACAAAACTAGCTTTCCAGGATCATCCTTCTTGATTTTTTGAAGATGTGCAAGGACAAATACCCAACCATGCCCTAGGCAGCAGATAGTGAAATGGAATATAAGCAAAGAACTGCATCCACCATCTTAGTTTCACACTCTGAACTGAGTAAACTGCAAACAAAAAAAGAACAAAAAGCAGAGCTCAGGATGAAAAGTCACCTTGGTCTCTACTTGAATCTAATCTTCATAATCTGTATTGCTCAGAGGTGTCCTCACATATTTCTCTTCTGACTTTTTTTTTTCCTTTAATTAGGACTCAATTCAATTGAATTCTATCCAATTACTTCTAAATCAATTCATTCCCCTATCCCTGCCAGCAGCAGATTTTCAGTAAAGGCTCCTTGGTATTTTTCTTTCTTTCTTTCTTTCTTTTTTTTTTTTTTTCAGAATGCAGTATCAGACCCTACATCCCAGGTCATACAAAGCTGTGAAAACATAGATCTGAGATGCACCTTACCTCTAGGGAATCTTGGTAATAAATTCAGCACATTCTCTGCAGTGACTTTTGGATGATTTCATGCTATATAGCTTGATAAATACCACTGGAGGAGGAAAAAAAATCCCACCATCCAAAGGAAGGCTGATTAATAAAGTGATTTCTTCTTAATTAAAAAGAAAAAGAAATAATGATCTACTTTTCTAAATTCTCTGGAGGTCTGGAAGTACAGAAACAAAAGTCACCTTTTACTGACCTTAACTCCTGCTCAAACAGTTCCTTTTATGTCAGCCAAGACATCGCTATTCTTCCTGCTGCATCCTCCAGGCAGCCAGGCAATTAGGGTTAAATCCTGCAGGATGCTGAGCTGCTGCAGGATAAAAGTGACTGCACACAGTACCTTCCTGGAGCACAATATTCTGCTCAACAGTATTCTATGAAATTTCTATGAAATTTGCCATGATTTGGTATGCTTTTTCAAAGAAACTGCTGTCACACACCTACTTAAGTCTGTACTTCAGGACCATCAAAGCAGTTTTCAGTTCTACTGATTTTTTTTTAATTATTTTCCTGCAGGGACAAGCAGACTGCAACTCATCAATACCATATCCAATAGATGCAGTCTGACCAGCAGGTATTAAATAGTCACAGAAAGTCCCTCTCATCATTTCCCTATGACTTTTTTATTTTCAGGGCTCTCTCAGAGTGACGTAGGTTGGAGGGGACTTTAAAGATGATCTAGTTCCAATCCCCTGCTGTGGGCAGGGTTGCCAATGACCAGCTCAGACTACCCAGGGCCCCATCCAATCTGACCTTGAGCAACTTCAGGGATGGGGCATCCACAGCCCTCTGGGCAGCCTGTGTCAGTGAATAGCTATGGTCCAGTGAATAATTATGAAGAAACTGCAATTTCCCTACAAAGCTGGAAATCTTCAAACAAAGGCCCTCAACACAGCTACCATATCCCCAACTCCAATGTCAACATGATTATGGCTTACACATCCAGTTATACTCTTAATTTAGCTGGGATCTAGTTATTCTGGCTAGATCACCTGAGTTAAAGGAATTGACATGACTCCAGAGCTCTCTGTGCACACCTCAAGCATTCACAGTGACTTAATGCTGCAATTGCTTTCTACAGTCCACTCAATGACATGATTGCTGCTTCCCTCCTTATTGCTTTCTTAATTATTCCACATCCTGCTACTCATTACCTGAAGCCTTAGCCTCCCTTCTTTATTTGCATTATAATAACTTCTGGAGGCTTCAGCTGAAATCGTATTGATAGGACAAGAGGTCATGGCTTTAAGTTGTGCCAGGGGAGGTTCAGGTTGGATATTAGGAATAATTTCTCCTCCAAAACAGTGATAATGCAGTGGCACAGGCTGTCCAGGGGAATGGAAGAGTCACCATCTTTGGAGCTGTTCAAGAACTGTTGGGATGTGGCATTTGGGGACATTGGGCATGGTGGGGTGGGCTGGACTTGAGAATCTTACTGGTCTTTCCAACCTTAATGATTCTATGATTCTGTGTCTAACGGCCAACAGATTGTAGATATATGGGAATGTATAGAGAGGAACTTATGCTGTATTCAAAGCAGATAGCATTCATGCTATTGCAGGACTTCAACATTAACTCAGAGCTAATAACTTCCCAGAAATGCAGCTAAATAGCCCTTTAGGAACAAAAGCGAGACTCTGCCCACCTGTGGTTACAGCAGGGAAAACTGCCAGTGCAGAAACCTGGCCAACTTTTTGCATGTAATTGCAATCAGCCTCTCTAAATTCACCTTCTCTTCTCAAGGAGATAACATTTTCTTCACTTCCCATCCCAAAGTGCTTTCCAGTGACAGCTTGTGCTTGTGTTGCATGTCTTCAACTCGCTGAAGCTAATTAATTCTGTCTCATCCCAGCAGAGGGCCCTTGGTTTGTTCGGCCCAGAGCAGAGGAGGCTGAGGAGAGGCCTCATGATGGCTGCAGCTCCTCACAGGGCAGTGGAAGGGCAAGCGTGGATTTCTGCTCTCTGGTGACAGTGACAGGGCCCAAGGGAGCTGTGTCGGGGGGGAGGGGGCAGGGTGTGAGGAAAAGGCTGTGCCCCAAAGGGCAGTGGGCATGGAACAGGCTGCCCAGGGCAGTGGGCATGGCCCTGAACTGATGGAGCTCAGGAGCATTGGGACACCTCTCTCAGACACTGGGTTTGGGTTTGGACAGTGCTGTGTGGGGCCATGGGTTGGACTAAGTGATCCTTGTGGGTCCCTTCCAACTTGGGACTTTCTGTGATTCTATGAAAGTGCATCTGTGTGCATTACCAAATAGTTGCCCATACCTTTACCAAAATCTGCTGTTTCTCCTGCAGTGACAGGTTGGGAGAGCTGGAATCTTTTGTGCTAGGGAAGAGAAGGCTCCAGGAAGAACTTGCAGTGGCCTTGCAGTACCTAAAGAGGGCCTTCATGAAAGATAGTGAAGGGCTTTATCAAAGATTTTAATGATAGAGTAAGGAAGAATCTTTAACAAAAGAGGAGAGATTTGCATTGGATGTTAGGAGGAAATTCTTTACTCAGAGGGTGGTGAGGCACAGGCACAGGCTGCCCAGATTGCTGTGGGTGCCCCATTTGTTGCAGTGCTCAGCGCCAGACTGGATGGGACTCTGGGCAGCCTATGCTGGTGGGAGATATCCCTGCTCTGGCAGGGGGTTAGAACTGGGTGGCTTTAAGATCCCTTCCAACCCAAACCAGTCTGTGATTCTGTGATTCTAAATCTGCAGACCACTTTCCTTTCTTCTGTATTACAGTGTCTTTCTTTATCCCTTTTTTCTCTAAAATGCTCTTACATACTTATGACCACATTATATGATTCTCTCAGCCTTCTGTACCTGACTTACCTTGGCCTTAATGGATGGACACCACTGCTGGCCTGGCTGCCCTACCTGGAAGCTGCTGTCTCAGTCACCCCACTCCCTTATTTCTCCCATGCTGCTCCTTCAGTCCCTTTGATGCATACAGATTCCCAGGTTTCTCCTCTTGCTTTATGTTTCCTGCTGTTAGGCACTCAGTAGTCAGATTTTAAAAAGGCTTTGGCTCAATGTCAAAGTGATCAGTGCAGTAATGCCAAATAAAGCCGAAGGCCCTGACATTTTATCCTCTCTATCTCCAGACTCCTCCCAGCTCCATTCCTCCCCTCCAGACAACAGACACACACACATCTCTAATAGATGCCAGCATCCTTTTCCGATAAAGCATCTCAAAATGCATGTCATCAGCCTTCATCCCCTGGGGTGACTGCAGGAAACGAGGCACAAGGAATTACATTTCTCTATCCCACTGCATCAGAAAACAGCAGCAAAGGCATAGAAAGCAGGTCTTGGACCACCACTGACAAATCACTGGATTTATGGCTAAGCCAGCACCAATCACAGACAAAAAAAAAACTCACAGTAGCTGCTTTTCAATTTTCTGAATGTATTGGGCAACATATGCTGAAAAGCTTTGTCCTGCCTGGACTAGGCGAAGTTTTCCCTGTTCTGTCTCTCCTCTTCATCTCCCCATGATGAACATATCTCCTTTTTCTTGCCAGCAAAGACTTCTGCTTTCCTCCCTAGCCAGAGCTCTCATCCAGGGCACAGCTCTGCATACAGAAGCACCCAGATCCCTCACTGACCTTCAGCCTGGTGTCCTTCCTATTATCATCCCCAGAGACTGTAAACAAATTCACTCCGGAGGCTTGCTGGGTTTTTTTGAGGTATTTATAGCATAAACATCACTCTTCTTTCATCACATTTTTGTCTGCATTTCTGTGTATGGAAACAGATCCCCTGGAAATAGCCCAAACAAAAGACATGTCCTCTTCACCAAAGCATACCACACCAACAGCTGCCAACACTGGCTGAGAATCATCAAACACTGTCTAGCTACTCGGAGATACACAGACCTCCAATCTTTCTGGTAGTGCCTTCAGGAAATAAGGGATATGTCCCTCATTTTAGACATCAATTTCTCCTGCATCCTGAGCCCTGAGCAACTCTCCTTTGAGCACTCCTCCTGTATTTTGCCCCCTGAACATCCTCCTGCTGAGCAGCCCAACCCTCAAACAACCCTCTCTCTTCCTGCATCTGAAGCCCTGAGCATACCAACTCCTGAACAAACTCCTGCATTCTGAACTCCAAGCATCTCTCCCACTGGGCATTCCTCCTTGGAGCATCCCTCCTGCATCCCAAGCCCTAAACACCCCTCCAGCATCCTGATAGCAAACATCCCACTCACTAAGCATGCTGACCTCTGAACATCCCTCCTTCATGTGTTCTCCCTGTATCCTAATACACTGAGCATCCTGACCCCCAAGCATCCTTCCCTCTGAGTAGTCTAACCTGCAAATAACACCTTTAGATATCCAAGTATTCTTTCACATGAGCATCCATATTTCTGAGCATCTTGACTCCTGAACACCCCTACTGCATCCCTGCCTCTGAGCATCCCTCTTGCATACCTTTCTTTAAAACATCCTAAAATATCCCTTCCTCTTAGCTCCCTAGCCCCTGAGCATCCTTCTTTCAAGTATCCTTCCTGTATCCTGAAGCCCCAAGCATGCCAACTTCCAAACATTCCTCTCTCTGAGCAGCCCGACCCCCCGACAACTGTCCCACATCCTAACCATCCCTCCTGCATCCGTCTCTCTAAGCATCCCTTCTCCCAGGCAACTCTGAGCAACCCAGTTCCCCAGCATCTCAGCCCCCGACCATCCCTCCTTCAAGTATCCTTACCTTTGAGCAGCCCTAGCCCCGAGCACCATTCCTGACTCTTGAGGGACCTGCGTCCCTTCCCTGGAACATCCTTCTTTGAGCACCCTGACCCCCAAACACCAATCCTGCATCCCGACCCCCCAAAACACTCCTCCTGTAGCCCTTTTCTCTGAACATCCCTCCTGCATCCCTTCCCACAGGCAACAGTCTCTGAGCATCCCACTCCCCAAGCATTCCAATCCCATTCGAGTATCCTTTCTGTGTCTTGAAGCTCTGAGCATCCCAACCCCCAAGCATCCTTCTCTCTGAGAAGCCCGAATGCCGAACCCCCCTTCTGCATCCTGACCCCTGAGCATCCCTCTCTATGAGCATCCCGACCCCAAACACCATCCAACATCCCAATCACTGAGCACTCCTCCTGCATCCCTTCCCTGGAGCACCCCGCGCATCCCTTCCCTCTCAGCATCCCGCACACCCCAACCCCTCCATCCCTTCCTATCCCTCTTTACCTCACTCCGGAGCCGTGCCCGGTCCTTTCCCTCTCGCACCGGGCAGGCAGAAAGCCGCAGCCCCGCGGGCAGCTCCGGGGGCAGGGCGGAGAGAAGGGAACTACAACTCCCAGCGCTGGCCGCACCGGGATCCTGCGTTCGCCGCGCCTCCGCTTCCTCCTCCGCCTCCTGCGGGTCCGGGCGGGGACGGGGCTCGGGGCTCCGGGACCGCAGGTGGGTGCGGGGCTGCGGGGCGGGGGGAGCGGCGGGGAAGGGCTGGGGTCAGCCCGTCCCCGCCCCGAGAGGGGAAAGTGAGGCACGGGGCATCGGGAGAAAGGCTTTGGGATGTTCAGGTTTTGTATAAATCGGTCTAACCTAGTAATTAACGATGATATCGTTATTGGTACTGTTAGGATTATATATTATTATTATTTTAGTATGTTGTGCTGCTTGCCGATAATTTGGGATATTTCTCTGGTTCTGTCACCAGTTCAGGCTGCTCAGGGCCCCATCCAGCCTGGCCTTGAGCACCTCCAGGGATGGAGCACCCACAGCTCTCTGAGCAGCAGTGCAGGTTTGGCAAGTGATGTGGACACTTAAATGGGATATTAGAAATCAGTGCAAAGCTTTACAGGGCTGGCATGACCTGGGCACAGATTCCCTCCCTGCTGGCCATCTGCTTGTCAGCACAGCCTGTGGGTTTTGGAGTCATGAGTGCCGCATTTCAGCTTTTATCCTCTGGCTCTTCACTCTGTGTTCCCCTCTGTCTTGTCCTCTAGGCCCTCCTTAAGCAGCTGTTACCTTCATTTCTTCTTCCTTCTCCCCAACACCTCTGAATACTGTCATTCCTCATATCTCAGTATGAGCCTGGCCTTTATTTTATATTTTCTTCCCCCCACTTTTTGCCCATCAACCATATTTCCATCTCCCCACCTCCTTCTCTTTGCCCCAGATTGTTCACTGCTTAAACCTAGAGAGCCACATCTGTTTGCATTCACCTGCAGCCCTGTGCCAGCAGCATCAGCCTGGAGCATCTGCCAGGAGATGCACAGCATCAGGGAGGTCCCCATGCATCACTCAGAGCAAGCCAGGGATGTTAGGAAGCTCACATTCATGCTTCCTTTTTCATCTAATTGGCAGAATATTTCCACACTAATACAGTACGGTTAGAAAATAAAATCCAAGTCACTGTTGCCTGGCACTGCCACAGGCAGCAGATCGATAGGGATGCTTCCTGTAAGGAGGGGTGAGCTGGCGTTTCCTGCCCTGTGCCTGCTGGGAGTTGGAGTCCTCTCTTGCAGCTCGCTGACAGAGCACTGTGATGCCTCAGCCAAGTATCCAGAATGAGGTGGGATAGACTTCCATCTTGCAGTCGTGGGAAAACATGGAGTTTTCCTCTATAGGATTGCTATAAAGAAACACAAAGTGTGTACAGTCCACATTGCAGAGTACTGGGATTGGTGAATGTACATCAGTGGTACACTAAGGGAGGGTTAAGCATCTTTCACAACACATTTTGTCCCAAATCCTTCTTTAAACCCAGCTCTCGCGTGATGCCTGCCCGCTGACTCTCACTATGGAAGCACTGAACTGAGGTTTCTAATTTAATTTTTCTTTTCTAAATACTTTCTATTTTATTTCCACCCTCCATTTGCTGTTCTTATGGGTTTTTTTCCTCCTATCATGACTTCTAGACATCAAGCTGCCTTTGTTGTAGTGCCCAAAACGCAAATTTCCAGCTGGTGCTCTTTTTCCTCTGCAAAACCATCCCTTTGAGAAGGGACTGGGAAGAAAATGGCTCTCCAGATACGGCCATAGCGAGTGCTATAGCTCTGCTGCCTCCATCTGTGCCCAGACCCAGATTTTGCAGCTTAATGATAATTATTACCAGCGTGTTTTGTGGAAATTGGGATTTTTTTTATCTCAAACCAAAGTGCTCTGCTGTAGTCAGATGTGCTGGAGCAAAGCAGTTGTTGGGAGCTGGGAACAGAGCCCAGCACCGATGGAGCACTGCCTGTGGCTGATTATCTATGTGACATTAATGCTCTCTAACAAAGCAGTCTGGGGCCCAGTGCTGGGAACAACCATCTTTTCTGATCAGACTCTTCCTAATGTCTCTCACAACCACACAGGTGTTTGGATACTTTTTTTCCCATCCCTCCTTTTTTAGCTGGAATCAATCGGGCTGCTCACAATGCAAAATCGCTTCCTACAGCGCATTACCTGGCCAGACCTGCTCAACATTTATCCAGACACCACGGCTCTCAGCAGCTCTCCTGGGCAATGCTCAGAAACAGGGAGGTTTTTAGTCTGGCTCCTTCTCCTGATGCTTAGCAGAAATGGTCCCTGTCATGCTTTAATGTTGTTGCTATTTAGGCTCTCTTTCTTGTGCCCACCTGAATAATTCATCTCCTGGTTTTGCTGTGTGTGTGCTTTGCTGCTTGCTGTTACTCCACAGCTTTCTTAACTAAGCTGCACGTTTCACTGTCTTAAAGATGGGTTTCTAAAGTTTTGGTATGAAAGGATGCTTTATAGTTTGGGTATTGAAGGGGACCCTGTACCCGTGACCAATTGCTGCTGCTTTTCCTTCCTCACTCCCAAAAAATACTTGTGCTTAGGTTTACTTCTCAAGGAAATCAAGGCTTTGCTGCACATTCTCCCAAATAAAAACTTCATTTTGTTTTCTATTTAGTATCTTTTGTATCTTTTCTCTGCCCTGCCAGTAATTACAGTTTTGGCTAAATTAGTGTTATCTTCATTCTGTTAATGCAGAGACAACTTTCTTCAAATCTTCAGCGAGACACTTAAACAGAAATGGACATGCAATCTCTTCCATGTTCCATCAAGTTGCTGTTTTGGGGTAGTTTGTTTTTAATGGGAATGATCGAAATTGTTAATTTTAGATGCTGGATAATTTTGTTGTTGGATAAGCAACAGAAAGGCTCACGTTATTTAATGTGACTTTTCCTCTGTATATATCAGCATATGTCAGTAAGTGAAAATGAATGGATTTTGTCATTTCCCACACTGTTTTACAGCTGTAATCTAGTGTTATGGTTATGTGATTTCAGAGTGATTTGTGTCCAAATACATTTGAATACAGATGTAACTTGGTGTTCAGGTGTACTGGAACACAAATCACTCTAATAGCACATAATACCAGTGCTCATTGGCCAAATTCACATCTTCAAGTCTCAGATTAAATCTCAAAGTGATCTAATCTGAAATGGACTTTAAGTACTGCTTTGGGAGCAGCTACACAGAGGTCTTTACTGTAATTCTCTGCTTCCAAGAACCATAACCCAATTTGTATTTCTACAAGTGACTGCAGGTTGTAGCCACCTACGTCCATGTTTTTGGATCAGAATAAACTTAAGATCATATTGAGTTTAAAATGAAAGTCTGCATCTTACCACTGGGCCATCCAGTGGCCCTCAGGTGGCAACCAAAGGAGGGGAACATCTCCCTGCAGGTGGCCAAGGTTGGCAGAGAGCCTGAGAAAACTCCTATGGTACAGATAAGCAGGCTTAGACTCAGTAATCTGAAAATATGACCTGTGAAGAAAGAACAGAAAGAAAAAAATGGGTCACTGAGTCTGAAACAGCAGAGGAGGGAAGAAATGAGCATGGCCTTTGGGGTCATTGTCAGTGCTGCTTCCACAGCTTGCATTATCTGTGAGGAGATGCTTCTGTTCTTGTATGAAACTTGAAAAAAATCCATTTGGGGCTTTTTTTTGTGTCAGATTGTGTTTGCAGAAACACTTTCACAGGTATATTGCAAGTTCTTAGGGCAAACATTTACCACTTGTACCAAAGAATAAGATCAAGCCTATATATGACCAGTTTAAACAGCTCTTGACTCTAAATTGGGTAGAAGCCATCAAGAATGGGAAGTGTGCTGAGAACAGAGTGCCATAGGAAGTTCAAGACTGAAACGAGTTTTTTTCCAGAGTGTTTTTGGCTGAGCTTAGTAACAAGGATGGTCTTTGGTCTGGGGTGGAGGGGGTGCTGTGTTGGTCTACATGTGCACCTTTGTCAATCGTATTGGTTACAGGGGGCTAAGACTTACACTGGCAAAGCACTCAGAGGATTTAGAGAGTTGATTATTTCCCTTAATCACTATGCACTGACATACACACAGTGTGCGAAGGGCTAACACAGGCTAAAAAAGAGAGGGGAATGTTAAACTAGAAGTGAAATAAAGATTCTCTTTTGACTTGTTCCTTAGCTGATTTAGTATGGATGAGTTTTTCATAGCAAAATGGGCTTGCTGTCTAAAGGTGCAGTTGTTCTAGGGTGCCATTACCACCATTACTCAGGTTTTAGCAGCCATAAAGGAATCAATATCACTGCACAGGATGATGTTCTTCCAGTCTGTATTCTGCTGTGACTATGGAACTGATAATAGTGTTATCCTGTCTATGATTAATCTATAACCAGTTAGGAAAATGCCTGCATGTAAACTTAATTTTAAGAGAGCTGTTGGGCTGCTTTCTGTGAAATGACCATAGCTAATAAGGCAAGAGCTATCTCATATCTCTGCAAGCAAGCACTGATGGGCTTCCTGTTGTTTTTAGTCAACTGTCAACAGTAAAACTGGGAAGGAACTGTTGATGGGTTTGGATTCAGTGAGCAAGGAGAAATGTGAAATGAAACAGCCACATTTGCAGGTCTCCAGCTAACAGGAATGAGAGCACAGCTTCTCAGTACAGCTAAGCTGGTTTGCAATAGAAAAGTGCCTCCCTCCTCTTCCTTTGCACCAGCCCTGGCATTCACCTGGTTCCAAGATATAGCAGAAGTGTATTCTGAATAGAAAATGAGAGAGGTTGCTCTCTAAATGGGTTCAGTGTTGGGTCAGATAAGTGCCAGAAATGATTTAAGAGATAAGGGAAGTGTGGTGGAGAGCAAAGGGAGGTGTGTTGTTTCCAGAAGCAGTGATGCTTAACTGCATCATAAAAACACATCCTCAGTTTGTCTCAGCTGACTGCAGAGGAGCTGCACAGAAGCTACGTCAACTAAGGATACAGTCCCAATTAATTAAGAAATGTTTTCTAAGGTAAAGCACATTGGAAGGAGAAAGCTTGGTGTGTTTATTTTTTACTGAATGGAACTGCAAAGAACAAGGGAGCTCACTGGCTCCCTGGTAAGATGATTGCACACCAATGTGTGTTTGGGGATTCTGCTGCAACAGCTTTGTTGCTTTAATTAAATCTTGAGATGTCATGGAAGTTGTTGGGATGTGTCTGGTTCTTATCCTACCCTTATTTTCTCCATGTTCATGAGGGAGATGGGAATGGTTGAGTCCAGGATACAACTCTGGAAATCAGTTGTTTTCTGCTGTAGGCACCTGTGGGAGGGATTTCACATTTAGCACGACTGTAAAGCTATGGAAGACTCATGATTTCTAGCAGTAAACTGAATGAAACAAAATCCTGATAAAAACTATTAGGAGAAGAGATGCTTATTCTCACGATACAGCCTCCAAAAATATTTCTCCATTTCTATTTTCAAAGATAAATTATTGCCATGTAGTTACCCATATATATACTGAAACCTTTTTTTCCCTGTAGTTTAACCTTTTCAACCATGTTGGATGTTTTTATTTTTTTATTATTATTTTTTTAGAATTAGTCGCAGCATCGTGACTTTTCCATCATGTCAGAACCCATCACGCTCAATGTTGGAGGAAAGCTTTATACCACCTCTCTGTCCACCTTGACTAGCTTTCCAGACTCCATGCTGGGGGCCATGTTTAGTGGGAAGATGCCAACCAAGAAGGACAGCCAAGGCAACTGCTTTATTGACAGAGATGGAAAAATCTTCCGCTATATCCTGAACTTCTTGAGGACTTCTCACTTGGACCTCCCTGAAGACTTTCAGGAAATGGGCTTACTTCGACGGGAGGCAGATTTCTATCAAATTCAGCCTCTGATTGAAGCCTTGCAGGAGAAGGAGGTGGAGCTTTCTAAAGCAGAGAAGAATGCCATGCTCAACATCAGCCTCGATCAGAAGACCCAGACTGTTCACTTCACTGTTCGAGAAGCACCCCAGATCTACAGCCTGTCTTCCTCCAACATGGAAGTGTTCAGTGCTCATATCTTCTCTACTTCGTGTTTGTTCCTGAAGCTTCTTGGTTCCAAACTTTACTATTGCTTCAATGGAAATCTCTCCTCAATATCCAGCTACCTGCAGGACCCCAACCATTTGACCTTAGATTGGGTTGCAAGTGTGGAAGGTCTTCCCGAAGAGGAATACACGAAGCAGAACTTAAAGAGACTCTGGGTGGTGCCAGATAATAAGCAAATCAATAGTTTCCAGGTATTTGTGGAAGAAATGCTAAAAATAGCTGTCAGTGATGGTTTCTGCATAGATTCTTCTCATCCACATACTTCAGATTTCATGAATAATAAGATTATTCGCCTAATTCGATACAAGTAGGAATGTTTTTTTCTTACGATGCCATCATGAAGATAACACAGGTTAAGTGTTTCCCTTTAAAACACACTTACAGCCTAATTCAGAATCATGCTTACCTGGATTAAGAGTCACTAACAGGGAGATGATTTTCCTTTAATGTATTTACCAATACAGTCTTTCAGAATATGTCTATATTCTAAATAGAAGGAATATTGTCTAGCACCTGAATTAAGGATTGGTTCTGTCTCAGCCTCCACCTCTAACCTGCCATACAACTGTGGGGAAAATCACTTATCTTCTTACTACATTTTCCAGATGAAAAATGGGAATGAACCTTAACCTGTAACGTATGGTTGATGGGAATGTTCAGTTAACAAGGTTTGGAAAGTGTCTGGAGATGAGATGTGGTGAAGGAAGCCACGGAGACATAATGAGATCAGATATACTGAAGGAAGCCAAGGAGTCACAGTGCAGCAGAAGACAGTCCAGAAAGGCACATTTTCCTTGTCTCTGCCATGTAACCTGGGCAGAGGACCCAAGAAGCTTGTTTCAATTGGTGGAGAAGAAGCCTCTCCACATGGACACATTGAATCCAGACGTAAAGGATGGTGCGCATTGCCAGTGAGTAGAGGATTCTGTCTGTTCTGTCGCCATCTGAAGATGACTGTTTTTTTTTCCTGAATCGTGTGAGGAAACCACTGCTGTGTTCTGCTTTCAGGAAAGCCATGGTTGAATTATGTGACTGACTCTGGGAACAACCAAGAAAGCCGTAACAGAGACAAAGATGTTTTTACAAACTGACAAGATTGTGTCTATTGGAGAACCTTGCTTTGGATGCTCTTACACCTTGACATTTTCATTCCAAAGGCATCCAAGACAATTATTCCTTTTCTTTCTCTTACAATGCTGTATTTGTCTCGAGGATGCTCCCAGAAACACTATCTGAGGTGATGACAGCTTTAGAGGGAAGACGTCCCCAAATATTGTCTGAATGGTTGGGTTTCTTCTGACTGGACATGACCTTCTCTTGGGAAGTCTCCTTTCAGCAGTGTCTGGAGCTTATGGAATGGCTTTTAGGTAGGGTGGATTCCATCTGAAAGGACTACTTTTCCATCACCGTCTCTACTACTTTTAATTACAAAACTAGAGGCTCAGTTTGTCTACCTCTGTACACTGAGCCATTTTTTTTATACCACTGTGAAATGTCAGACTGCTAAGGCACCATTTTACCTTCTTGCTTGGCTTTAGTGTCCAGCTGTCAGAGAGATAAGGCAGTGGGAAGCAAAGGGTGATGGCAATGGTCAAGCCCTTTCCTAAAAGCCTGATCCTTGCTATGATGAAGATCATAGTCCCCTAGCTGCATGTTAGCTCTAGATAACACTTTTGCCACATTCAAGGTGGTTCATTCTTCAGCTAATTATTTTTAAAAGTATCTTAGCTGTCTTTCCCTAGTCAGATTGCTACGTATGCATGAGAGACCCTCCAGAACATTTCCCATTCCCTCACGTGAGATAGAAGGGAAACTGCAATAACCAACTTTAGTGTTTGTAATTTTATTGCTTCTTAGCACAGAGCTGCAAAGCTCAATATTGCTTTTGTTCTTTCTTTTCCCAAAGCAGCTAGGCTGCTGTTATGTTAAGCTGATCCATGAGGAGCAAAAAAACCGCATTAATACTGTTCTAAAAAAACTGTGAGATAAATATATTCCCACTGTCCCAAGCTGTATTGCATGAATAACACAAATCAGCATGCTGATGGTAAAAATGCTCACTCTGTAGCTATTGGCAGCCTGTTATAAATCTCCTTCCCTGTCTGCCTTGGTGCAGGACTCACAACCATGATGGTGGAAGTGAGACCATGTTGTTAGGCCATACTGACTGGGACTGAAGTCCGAAGAACCATTAAGCCTAGCCCCTTTTTGTGAATTTTGAGGATTAGAAACAGAATGCTATGGCCAAATTTCAACTTTCAACTTTTCTGCCTTCAGTTGCATTAGGAAGAACTCTCTTTTCCCTGTTCCTGTCCTGAATTATGAAGCAGGAGTAACATACTCCAGAAGATGCGGCGTGCCACTGACAAAGAAGAGCAACACAAATGTGAATCCTATTTCTGCTGACAGATCGCCAGTCAATTGGACATTCATAGTTATCATCTATGCAGATGTTATTATTATGATCTGTAAAACACCATTCGTGAACTCTCTTTCAACAAATCTATGCCTTCAAACAGATATGCCTTTGCTGAACTCATGATAAAAGCTTTGGGGGGATGTCAGTGGTACTATTTTTTTTAACTCAAGCCTTTGAGATTATATTTTAAATTATTTGTAACAGCAGTTATTGAATGTCAGGACTAAATGAATAATTATCTGTAATAATTAGTTTGCTCTTAGCTTGAGTTTATCCAGGGGCAAGAGCAGTGGGCTTAAAAGGGGAGGAAGTCTGTTCTGGAATGCTTGAACCCTTCAGCTTATTGTGCTAACAGTGGACCACTTGAATCTACGTTTGTCTGTGCTCAGGTCACTAAAGTAGGCAAAGGTATTACTGACCACAAATCTCTGTCATTTCTTAATATGCAGAGAGATGCAAAATTTCCAGTAAAGACACCAATGAAAACAGGCCTTGGGAGGAATAGAAAAGCTTCAAATACTTCTAAATTGTTGAGGAGAATAAATGTCTTTGAAAATGAGATACTATGTATAGTACCACAGCAGTTCTGCGTGCTACCAAGTAAGTGAAATAAGTGGTAAGTGAATCAGCTGAGATTGCAATCAAACATATGTTATATAAATACAGCTGCTATTTCAAACAACATGCTAAGCTAAATTTATAGCCGTACCCTAATTTTGCACTCTGTGAGTTATGCTGTAATGACTGTTTATAGGAATGCTCTCTCTCCAAAGCATTTCTTTGCCTGTCATCTAGATAGCAAGTTTTTGTTTTCCTTCTGTTTCTAAGCCCTGGAGGTAACTTGCTTTTCTGTCACCAATCAACAGCACTGATGATTCTTGTTCTCAAGCTGTTCTGGCTTAAAGAAAAGTGAACATGCACAAAACCATATTGTGTGCTTAGGGTACATCACAACCCCATCGCTTAGTCATGAAAAGCACTTGAAACGTATTAGCAGTAACAACTACAAATCATTTCACTGTTGGAGTGGAATACTTTCTCTTGGAACAGACTTCTTATTTTTTCCAGTAAGCACCTTAAAACAAGGAAAGAATCTAGCAAGCTTTTTTTCCTGTCTAGATTGAAGTGAGTTTTTTTGCACATTTCAGAGCCTATCCCCTGTTCTGATTCTGCTATCAGCCTGTCTCTCTCAACACCTCCATTACAAAATGAGGCTGACCTGCACTTTGTTGTTTTTTTTTTAATGGCCTAAATGCTGGCAGAACCACTGGATAGAGAGATCAATTGTTTTCAGAGCAGAAAAACACCAGAGTTAGGGCAGATGATAAATAAGTTACTAGCTCGAATGTAATGGCAGTTACAGACATGGGCATGTACATGGCACAGTGGGATTTCTTAGACAACAGAAAGAATATTCTAAAGCATCTTAGTGGAATCCAGACAGAATCACTCATGGGTTTCTCTTATATGTTTTTTGGCTTGATATCTCTAAATTGTCTACTAATATCCAATAATAATGAAGGGACTGAAACCATGCCTAAAGACTAAAATGGCTGATGAATGCTGCTGTTGTTAAGAATCATTAGAAGACTGTGAGATGAATGTTTGTTCCTTCAGGTGATGGTAGGGGAATAAAAGAAATTGGTGTAGAAAGTTAGACTTGGAAGAATTCCTAAGTTTACAAGAAATCCAAGATTTAGAAGGACAGCATAGAGACTCTAGATGTGAGATCTGTTCAGGAAAACAAAAAAAGGTAAGCAGGGAACAAATGGAGACAAAGATTTTGTTATGGAGAAAGAGTGCAATTAGAATGACTCATTGGTCCTGTTCAATTTTAATCTCCTATTATGCAACTAAAATATTGGGCCGTGCCAAGAGTAATTCCAGTACCATGTCAGAAGCAGACAGCTTTGCTAAATTTGCATGTGCTTTCAATCACCAAACATATGCAATGCTGTAGTTGCCCATATTTCAACTTGGTTGCTGAATATAAATTTCTGCTTGAGCTCACTGTTAGTAAATCTCTGCAGTCAACCAGACTGATTCCCATTCTAGAAAAGAAAAGGCTGGAGGGGTCTGTATGTAATGTTCAAGGGAGTAATAAATACTGCCTTCAGCCCTTGTCAGGAGTTGTGTAAATGACCTTCTGACACTTCACAGATAAATGGAGAAGTTATGAAGAGTACTTTTTATGAGAGTTTCATTTTCATCCCATACCATTGAACTTGGTATCACTGCTCAGAACTGCAGTGTTTTTGGAAATATTTAACTGTCCTGGATGGTGAGCCATTCTGTAACAGTTCCCTTATCCACACACTGGATAGAAACCACATGCTGGCCAGAAACAGTGAACAAGCACAGGGAACAATATGTGACCCTCCCATTAGAAGTGTCATATGTGAATTAGTATCTGAGGTCATGTAGGTATTCCATGCGAGAAGAGCTGGATGCAGCATAAATGTGCAGATCATGCTCTCAGATTCACTAAGGATAATAAGAGGGATGGTTTTTCTATGGATTCAGAAAAAAAGAAATAAAAAAAGAAAAAGGAGCTATATGGATGAATAATTCCTTTTCTTTTCCTCCTCTTGCCATTCTCCCTCCTCTTATTTTCTTATTCCTACTCCTAGCTGTTGGATTTTTCTGTTGAACAGAACTTGGTTCTTGAATCACTAAAAAGCCATACTTTTGAATGATTGCTTTTTGAAAGGTGTCAAAAGATGGGTTTTGTTTCTTATCATTTTCACAGACAACCCATGGGATATCACATTTTAAAATCTTTTTGCATTTCTCTGCCCATAGCTCTTCTGTGAACTGTTACTAATATATGTTTTAGAAGACAATAAATAAAATGTGAATGAAGCAGTAGATGGTCTGCCTGACATACATTTTCATGCAGCAACATCTGCTGAATCTGCAATTTTTACTCAACACTTTTAACAGTTTGTCATTGCAATGCTTACCAAGAAGTCTCTATGACGAAGCTCACTAAAAATATGAGAGCCGATGTAGATCTATGTACTTCTTCAATAATCCAAGCCATTCTTAATGCCACTCGTGTCTTCAAACGTCTATAATGCAGAGATTCAAAAAATACATTTTTGAACAAATCCTCATATGTTCGTGCAGCCCCACCGTGGCCTCATCACCCAACACTACATCCCTCAGGCCCAACGCCACCCAAACCCACTGCTGGTCCCACACCATCCAACCTCACATCAGTCAGGTCTACCACCACTCAACATCACTGCTGGAGCCACAGAATCACAGAATGGACAGGGTTGGAAAGGACCTCAAGGATCATGAAGCTCCAACCCCCCTGCCACAGGCAGGGCCACCAAACTCCCCATTTAATACTAGACCAGGCTGCCCAGGGCCCCATCCAATCTGGCCTTGAACACCTCAAGGGATGGGGCATTCACAACCTCTCTGGGCAGCTGTTCCAGCACCTCACCACTCTCTCTGTAAAGAATTTCCCCCTGACATCCAACCTAAATCTCCCCTCCCTCAACTTCAAACCATTTCCCCTTGTCCTGCTGTATCTACCCTTTCAAAGAGTTGATTTCCCTCCTGTTTGTAGGCTCCCTTTAGGTACTGAAAGACTGCGAGAGGAAAGTCACAGGAGTCAACCCCATACCAAGCCCCACACCATCCAATGCCATACCTGGCCTCATAACA